CTTCCTGAGTAGAATTTTTAATGTGTTTTGACATACTCTCTCAAGTTTTCCTTAACAAAGGAACCTTGGTTTTACATTTAGGAGCATTTTCTTAGGCATATTAATATGCATATTCATATGAACTTTTCCTAAGCCCCTTTCTCTTGATAAGATATATATATATATTGTGTTGGGGGGAGTATAGAGAAAAAAGAATAGCAAAACCAGGGAATTTGAATATCCAACATATCTGTTTGGGCAAGTAGCTCAGTTGATAAAATGGTTTGCTATCCTACAGGTTGCCCTGAGTTCAATTCTAGCACCATGTAAACTGAATCTGTTGATGCCTTAACCTCAGCACTCAGAGGTAAGGGCAGGAAGACCAGATAGTCAAAGTCATTATTAGCTACAAGCAAATTAAAAGCCAGCCTGGGAAAAGGGATAGAGTGTTTCCATGACAGCAACAACAACAACAAAGAAAAAACAAAAAAAGCAAAACAAACAAACAAAAAACATTCATTTGATTGTTATCTCCAGTTCAAGTAGACCTCTTAGAGAAATATTTTCCTGGAGACTATCACATAGAACCCAAGTAGCATAAAATCCTAATAGATATTGCTGTACTGTTGTTGATATATGTTTTAGATTACAGCATGTGAAACATATTAACTAGATATAGTCATGATGCAATATTCCTATCTGCTTTCCACGCTTGGTATGTAAAGCTTTCTGTAAAACAGGCATGTTTTGTTTGAGGATAGACATTGTGAGTGTAAATTACCATGCTTGTTTTCATATCGACAAGTACTTCAGAAGCAGAGTATTATTTTCTCCACATGCATTAGAAGGTGCTGGAGACATGCTAAAGAACCATGGTGTTAACTTCATTCTCTTTTAAGGAAAGTTTTTATTATATACTAACTGGAATTTCAGGAGTGTTGCTGTCCATCACTAGAAGTATACAAAACTGTGGAGTATAATATAATTTTGAAATAGTCTGAACTATATCAATACTTTTTTTAAAACAAAATAAAGAGACTAGAGAAAGTTCAATATAAAAATTCAATTACATTTACATGTAACAGGAATGAACAACTGCAGTGTAAAATTCCAAAGGATTAGCATTTGCAAAAGCAAGAAGAGAATCTAATTTCAGTCATGTCTCACAGTACATATCGAAGATATGTGTAAAACTTTAAAATAAGTTAGCAACATCCTAAGTAAATGAAAATGCATCCTATGCATTATTTTATGTTTGCTTATAATTACAAACATGCATACACAAACACACATATACACAGAGTCACACACAATTTAAATAAAACTTTGCCTCTTGCAGTGTTAATATTCCCTCCTGCTCATGATGTCTAATACTGTAAACCGAGATGAGAGAACATGCTACTGCCATTTCTTTACAGCAATAATACTTCTAACTGCACCCTAAATTCTGTCTATGAACACCAATAAGTGTAACTCTCACATCTCATCAGAGAATATTTTCCCCATTATGAACTGAGATTATTGCAGAAGTCCAAAAATACTCAGCAAAATCTAGAGAACAAAGGACTGTCGTATACCTATCCCGAATTGATACACTGACAAGACAACTTGTACAGCTAAAGCTCAGTGAACATCACAGAAGAGGAAGACAGAAAGACTGTAAGGGTCAGAGGACCAGAGTATCTACCGAGAGATGGTGTCTTCTATGTATGTCTGGTATCTGCACTCATGAAATGTCAACAATGTGATCAATGAGAAAAGACCTGAAAATGATAACATCAATTGACATTTCAGTATAGATGAAGTAAATCTTACAAGGCCCTACCCCTGCTTCTGGCAAAGAATCAGTCATCTGCAGGGATGAGTTTCCAGATATGTTATCTAATCTCAAGAGGTCAGACCTAAATGCATATACATTTAAGCAACACATAATAAACCCAGAGGCTGTTTACAAATTGATATATCTCTATCTTGATTGTTGTATATTTACAACAATAAAGAATAATATAAAATGATTTTGAGAAAAATGGAGGGAAAGGGGAGGAGTTCAGAGGAAGAGAAAGAGAGAGGAAGAACAGACATAAACCAAGCACATTTTCTTTATGTCGAAATTTTTATTTTAGTCTCTTACATTCTGTTTGAAAATAATTAAAATCTTTCTTCTTAACATTGTAGAATGTGTTTCCATTGAATTTGTTGAAATTGAGGAAAGTTTTGCATATCAAGTTTCTCTATGTATCTATCATATAGCAGGGGCTATAGCTCTGGTTTTACAATAAGCAGATAAATGAATTTTCAAAATTCTTGGATACAGTACCTGTCACTATTCCAACAACAGGTATTAGTATTGCAAACACAAGGAGGTAGAGAGCAATGAGGGCAGCCTTGAAGGACTTCAATTTCTCCTGAAGGGAGGAGCCATTTTTAGTGTCTGAAACAAAGCAAAAGAAAACGGAACAAATCCCAGACTATTATTAAAACCTTGATTTCAATCTTTGTAATTGGTGCAGAAGATAAGAATCAGCTTGTGACACAAGAGAGACATAATTAGATATGATTTTATATTGTGTATCTTACAAAATTTAAATGTAACATACAATTATTTTAGTGAGACAAAAATGATTTACATATCCTGTAGATAGATCAGAATGTAGTAACTGTACTTCTCTCTTTGGCATGCATTTACATAGAACACATATTACTATAATGGGATGTTGACTGCAGTGGGACTACATAACACAGAGAAAAAATAGTAGATTATATATTTATTGTGTGGGCATGTGGGTTTCTGTGTATGTTCATGGTCAGTGCTTGGATGTCTTCTTCCATTGGTCTCCACTCCTCACTTTTGAGACAGAGCCCTTCACGCAAAATTAAAAGAACAACCCATAATACACACAAGCTAAAATTGTCTGTACTTCAGGCTGAGTAAATGTAAAGCCTGTTTGTGTACCACGTGTGTGTCTGGAGCATGTGGAGGTCAGGGGTCACATCACCTGGGGTCATAGATGGTTTTGAGTTGACATGTGCATGCTAGGATCCAAAGCCAAGTCTTCCAAAAGAGCAAGTTTTCTTGACACTATCCCTTGCACTCCATATTTCAGAAAAGTTCTCTCGATGGGCCCAGAAGTCCCAGATTCAATTACACTGGTGGCTCCCAAATCCCCAGGGATCTTTCTGTCTCTTCCTTTCCAAAACTGTAATTACACATATAAACTGTGACATCTGAGTTTTATCTAAGGGCTTGGATTTGAACTCATGTATCTAAACTCATGTATGATCCTTGAAGGTTTTGCATTCTGTTTCTTCCATCTGAAACACCTGACTCTTCCTTCTCCACCGATCTTCTCAGATATGGGTATCAAAGGTTAGTAGGCTGTCCTGTCACCTTAAAATGGGCCAGATGATGCTGAGCATTGTTCCTCTGTGTTGTTGTCAGAGCCTGATTCACCTGTTGCAAGTGGGGTTTTATCTCTCTAAAAGATATGAAGAAGTGCTGGCTCTAGATAACTATGAAGGTGATTTTAATTGGAACCCAGAGTCAGTGCAGATTAATAGAGTGTAAATAATGTCTTGTGGTGTGAGGGTGATTCTGATACAATGGTTGGATCTTTATAACAAGAGAAAAGAGCATACTATTACACAGGAAAATAATCAATCCCTTTGAAGCAGGAAACAGAGCAGTCAGTGATGCAGTTAAATTCCAGGACCACCAAGAATTGCCAGAAACCACTGGAAGCTGGGAGAAGACATGGCCTTTAAATGACCTGTCACCCGTTGAACACCTTCATTTAAGACTTCTGGGACAGAACTGTGAGGAAACAGACAGATAGACAGATAGACAGACAGACAGACAGACAGACAGGCAGACAGACAGATAGACAGGCAGACAGATAAATCTCTACTGATTTAAGCCACCCAAACAGCTACTTGTGTCACCCTGTCATTTTATACTTACTGTGAGGAAGAGATGCTGTCATTGAACGTGCATCAAATTTCACGGATTCTGAGTAGCAGTCAGCATCCTCTGGTTCATGAGGGCAGAGCCTCTGTTTCTCTATCATCTATAAAACACATGCAGAATGCAGGAATGCTATATAAAGTGGCTGAGGTTGGTTTTGATCGTGTTGCATTTTAATATTTATAATTAAGATTCAATTTTAGCAAGAAAAATGTCTAATTAAATACACACATCATAGAGAGTGCTATACTAATCTTTCTCATGACTTTCGATTTAAAATGTTAAAGAATCAGATTTATGGGTCTAGAGAGATAGATGCCAATGAGATGCCTTCAACTCATGCATGAATACCTGATTTGGATACACAATGAGTGGTCCAGTCTCAAAGCATATGGAGCAAAGCAATACAAGAAAATATACATCATTGATTTCGGGTATCCACTTAGAACTACACATATGTTCAGTTGAACCTCCTTCAGACACACATTCACAATCATACAAACATGCACTCAGACATACACTGCAAAGCCATGGAAAATAGGTTTAAAAGGTCACATTCTTGAGGACTCATTGCTGTGTTGACCTCTGTAGAGAGAAATCTGTGTTTACAGATGTGTGACCTTTGCATGTGAAGAGGAGGAGTCTTACTTTTCTAATTAAAAAAAAAAAAAAAAACTCAAGTGACAAAAAATAACTAGCTAGAGAAAAAAACCCATGATTTTCCTTAGAACAAATAGTTATACATGTTTGGAACAAATATTTCCGGTGACTTTCTGGACTGAATTCATGAAACATAGCTTAGTGAGCCAGACTTCCTTTCCAAGGCATCTGCTTATCAGTTTAGAAAGATATGGTCAAGTCACTAGATTTAAATACACAGCAAAAAGTAACTTTTCTCTTTGATTGTTGTTGCTTTTGCTTCAGTAGTCAATTTATTCTTCTTTCATGTATTACATCGCTTCTCTCCTCTCAGTAACTGCCACCAACACCTCTCACCCAGATCAATTTCTCCTTTCCCTTCAGCGAAGAGCAGGCATCTCCAGGATATGAACTGAACACAGGATGATGAGTTACAGTAAGACTAGACACATTCCTTCACATGGAGGCTGATGAAGTAACCCAGTAGAAAGAAATGATCCCTACACCAGGCAAGGTACTGTTCTTTCCTTCCCTTCCATCATGCCTTCTCTCCCTTCTTTCCTGCCCTCTTCCTTTTTCTCCTTCTCTCTCTCCCACTCTTTCTTCTTTGTTTTTTTTTTTTTGGTTTTTGTATTACACAACGTAAATCTGTTCTTTTGTTATTCAAGTTCAATCAACATTCTACTGAGAAATCTATGCTTTTATTTCTATTGACAAGTATCAAAGGCCTTGAATATCTTCATAAAGACCTCAATGGACCACAGTCCCAAGCTTCCTGATACATGAACTGAGAGGGTCAATTACGTACAATTCTAGATCGATATGTACCAAGTCATCTATGAGAGAAGCAAAGAGTCTAGTCTGATATTGCACACTCAGGTGACTACACATATCCGCATTACATTGCATATTCAAAAGGTAGCAAAGAGAATCTTGAAAGTTTCCAACCAAAGGAAGTGTTAAACATTATTTTCATATGATGCAGTGCATATGAAACATCAAAATATCATATAACACTCACTAATGGTTATAGTTTTATATTTCACAAATTCAATTATCACCAAGATTAGGTCAGTGGTAAACCGTTTACCAAGCAGGTTCCATTTATGAAAAAATAAATAAATCTAATCAAACTAATTTTCACATTGAAACAAATGAATTTAATTAAAATACAAGGTTTTTCTCTTTCTCTCTTTTTTTTTTTTCTTTGTGGTATTAGGCTTTAAAATCAAAGTCTCACTCAGTCGTTTATCCTATGGCCCTTTTATCATTAAACTACATCGTAGGGTTTGAAATTCTGCTTGGAAGTAAGTGTAATTAAATAACATAAACTAATAAAATAATTTAAGAGTCTAATAAATTTTCAAGAAGTGGTGCTGATTCTGGCCAAGTGATCTGCATTTTACAGACACTGTTCTTGAAGATAAACGGGGTAACATTTTGTGGGTCATAGTTTAGGCAAGTTGACTAATTTATGAAGAATCCAAAATCGTTTAATCTTTCTTTATGCCCTTCATGGCTGAGGGATGTGTTTGCTGCAGTTTTAACTGAATTCACAGCAGGGTCAGGAAGCAGCCCTCCATCCTGGGCTGGGCATGGAGGACCATCACTCATATCTAAAGGCACTTGCTGCTTTGGGAGATTCATAGACTAGCAAGGATGTGACTAAATCCTTGTGGATAGATTTCTAAAACTATGGCCGAGGGGGTTATTTATTTGGCCGCTCACACGGACTACCTTTGCACGTTGATCATTTCTGAAAATCGGTTTCCACAAATCTTGAGTTGTTCAGTCTGAGGACTTTGATCTTTACAGGATTTCCCACTGGGACACGGGGATACGGAAAGGAAAGTGGAGGACCCAAAAACTTCTCTTTTTTCAGGTAAGGCAAAATTGAAAATGAAAGGAAAAGCCCAAATCAAATAAACATGTTGCAAGACTCAGGATACTGTAGATCCTGTAAGCAAAAGAAAAGGCGGAGCAAGAGCTCCATCACGAAAAGATTAAAATGACCAATTGTGAGGCATGGTGGCGCATGCCTACAACCTCACCTTCTGCCTGTAATCCTGGCACTTGGGAGCCAGTAGCAAGAGGAATGCTGATTAAAGCCAGACTGGGCCACACTGTGAGACTCTCACAAGATAAGCAAACAGAAGCCCTTAGACAACTAAGTCAATGAGTGACAAATAGCCCTGGAGATTGACTGTGGAGGAAGGAGGTTTGGACCAGACCTTGGATCCAGGCTTGCCTTGTTTCCCCTCTTTTAATCCACGATGGAAATGTGGACAACAATTTTACCCATCAAGCAAAACAAGTGAGCAAAGTAACAAAACGGAGTTAACAATAAAGCAGCTCTATAATCACTTCAAAGCCATATTCGAAACGACTATGGCCAAGAGGATAAAACTTGTGACTTTGAGCTCAGGTGGTAATGAATGCGGTGGAAAAAATCCTATTCACACTGTTCATGAAGTTTTTTTGTTTGTTTGTTTGTTTACAGGCTGTTACTGGTCCTTCTCCAAACAAGTAAATACGGGATCATTTTTAGCTTAAATACAAAAGAAACATTGTGGGCTATCTACTCATTTTTCTATGTAGGAAGGTTTATGAATTAAGATAAAAATATTTGTACCTGAAAAACGTCTAGAGAATAAGCTATGGGCTGACAGACACATGTCTGCTTTGTTTAACATTATACCGCAAGAGCTTCAGGCACCCTGGAACTTTGAATACACATTATAATTATCGACTCCATGATTTTATTTGACTTTCTAAGACTTTAAGCTCACGTGTCAGTTTTTGATTGCCAAGTGAGGTAGATATTTAGAAAACCAGTGGGCTGCAGATATGAGATCTTTTGAAGACAGAATTTCTTGAGGATGTTTATTTGTGATTCAGAATCTAAGGTGGTTTGACTTTATTTCCAGTCTCTCAATGGCATCTTTGAGCCTGTATTAACATAGTGGGCCACACAAGAACTTAGTAATTCAATTGGTCAATTGGTCATACACATACATACACACACATATGTATATTTACATACGCACACACATATATACACATACATACACGCACACACATGCACATACACATATATATCTCTATATATGTGTGTGTATGGCTGTGTATATGTGCATGTGTGTTTCTCTCTCTCTCTCTCTCTCTCTCTCTCTCTCTCTGTGTGTGTGTGTGTGTGTGTATGTGTTGCTATGACTTGAGAGTGTGGATATCCCCAAAGCCTTCCCTTGGCACTCTGAGACAGGCTTATCTTTTTGCTCCAACATCCTGAGCTTCCAGCATAATCAAGATGTTTTTCCTAGCTTTGCCTCAACCTTTCCAGAAGTCAGAACATTAATATAAGTAAGTTTGAGCCTGATTGGAATGTTTTGGCTAAAACTGTGAATTCATTTTCCTATTTCTACACATTTTCTGTTTCATCCTTTTGGACCCAGAGCCAGGCTTGCTCTTTAGAGCTGAGGAATACAGATGGATGGATGCCTCTGCCTGGTCCCCCCTGCATTGTTTTGCATTTTGTCACTCTCAACTGGCCTACTGGCACATTCAGGAACACTTTATCAGACTTTGGAATGATTTTGGGGGGAGGGGTGGATATTTAGTTTGGAGGATGTTTATCTAACCCAGTGCTCTCCCTCTAAATGTCCATAATAGCTCATAAATCACTGCATCTCTGGTTTCCTTTCAGTGATATTCTCAACTGCTAAAATGTCTATGCCCTGATAAACCAAAGGATGATTAAAATACAGCTCAACTCCTCGTGGGAAACAATAAATGTGCTGGGCTTACTTAGGAAGCATAGCTGAGGAGTTATTGATAGAAATATGTCTGACCTCAGTGCAGGCCCTCCTGAATGTCTTCAACCAGCATGGATGATGGCTTCTTTGTGTTTGCATAGATGTACGCTCCTTTACCTACTATGTGCATTACTCACTCCCCTGAGTTCATGAAGCCACAGGCAATTAGGACACAACGATATTTAAGTGGGTGGAAGGACTGGCAAGATACTCTGGTAAGTGTTGATCTCATGGAGGGTGGGTAGGTGTACACCACCTTATAACAATCCTGACTGCATCCCGGTGTTTTTCCAAACACAGTGTTCTCATTGACAACCACTGTTCTGTGTGCATTATGAATGTGTTTGCTGAACGTAGATGTGGAGTTTTTATCACTGTGGACAACATCTGCTTTCAGCAATAGGACTGCTGGGATGCCTTTAATAAACATTCAAGTCCATGATGGAAAAACCTTCATGAGCTACAGAAGCAACAAAGATTTGTCACATGTTGGGAGATTTCGCTCAGTTTGTTGTCTATAGTTTTAGCCTTTTTAAGGCCTGTGTGTGTGTGTGTGTGTGTGTGTGTGTGTGTGTGAGAGAGAGAGAGAGAGAGAGAGAGAGAGAGAGAGAGAGAGAGAGAAACTGAGACAGAGACAGAGAGAGAAGGAGGGAAGAATGGGAGGGAAGGAAGAGAGGGGAGAGAAGGAGGGTGGGAAGGAGGGAGGAAAAGAAAGACAGAGAGTTAGAGAGAGAAACAGGTATGTAGACAATATTTATCAGGAAAACAAACCTGAAAAAGATAAAGCCAAGAACAAACTGGGTTAGTGGCTCAGTAAAGAATCATCCAGCACTTCAAGCCATAGACAAACCTTTGGTTATTTTCTGATTAATTTTGGTTTTGTTTTGAGACAACATATCACTAAGTGAGCCAGTCTGGCCTTGACAAGCAGTCTTCCTCCCACAGGCTCCTAAATGGTCACAGGTGTACTAATGAGTCTTGGCCCATGCCTCGACTGTGAGTGTACCAGATCCCAGCTCTGGCCCAACTTTGGCCCTGTCGTCTCCCCCACTTACTGTCCTGATGATCTCAGTGCTCATGTATCAGGTGCAAGGCTCTGTGTTTGATCCCCAGAGCCATAAGGTTAAAAACACAACAAAAAATTAAAATAAAAAAATTACATAGATGGAAAAGACAACATATTTTTAAGGTGACTATATTTCATAGATCTATGTATACCTCAAGGAAAGTTCATGTTTCACACATATAGAATTTAAAAATAAAAAAAAGAACTTGTTATACACTGGAAAATGTTTCATACTTGCTTGAACTTAGTTACCTGACAAAAAAGATATCATTAGTACATTCCATTTTGCCTCAAAGAAATTTATTATTAAAGTTATCAGATTATTTCTGTCTTTATCTGATTTTATTATTAATTTTTTTGGAAATGTAAGAATACAGACAGAGGCGAGTCCTTGTTAGCAGTCTGTGAACAGTTTTACAACATTTTTTCTGTGACCTTAAACGTAATTTCCAATTTAAGAGACAAATAATTTCACATAAAGTGACTTTTCCCAGCCCATGCCTTTGTCCTGATAACGGATTGTGAAATCCTTTGAGCTTGTATAATCTATCAACAGTGTGTTCTCATGAGAACCAATACACATCTCTGCCACATCAGCTTTTATGAAGGGTCAAAAGTTCATGGAGGCAGCAACAGGAAAGCCATATGAAGGAACTCGGAGGTTAACACTAACCACAGTCTTCATTTTCATGCATGTTATCATTAAAACAATGTAGTGACTTGAAAGCCGAGATAAAATTCTACTTCTACCATCCAGCCACTTTAATACAATAAAATCCATCATTCATCACAGGGCACTGGAGTCTTTTTTTTCATAGATCTGGATTTACACAGTGGGTGTTGAAATGTGCATATTGATTTGGTGTGACACATTTTCCTCAAAAATCATGTTTATCTCTTTCTTTGAACTGTCTTTTAAAATTTAAAAACAATGAACTGTATAATATTTAATCAAAAGTGAGTAACTCATTTCTATAACCATTGCTTTTTATGACCACCCCTTTTCTGGAGCTCATGATTTTACTTATATAAATAATGTTGTCATAGCTACTGTGGTTGATAAACCATATTCTTTTGATATTTTTCTGTTTGATTTTATACCAGTGTTGAAGTACTAGACGAAATGAAAACTATTTCAAATGTCTTGGATATAGAAAGAGGATAAAATACTCGTATATATTTGAATAATGTGTGAGGGTGAAGATTTTAAATCTTCACCAGATAATTATTTAGATATTAATGAGAGTTGTGAAACTTCAATACATCTTTGTTACCCTGTGTATAATTAGTGTGGAAGAGATATTTCCATGCAATTATTTATTTACTATGCCTCTCATATATTGCCTGTTTATAGCCATTGCTTGCACACTCCAGGGAAGTTTTCTTATACCTATATGTAACTAAGTAAGGAATTTATGTGTGACTAGCATCTATTAACTATTTGATATTTTTTTGATTGTTTCACAGTACTAGAATTGGACTTAGAAATAAATCTCTGCTCTGTAAAGGTGCCACAAGTAAACTTTAACCCTAGTTCTCTCTCTCTCTCTTATTTTTCATTTTGAGACAAGATCTTACTGAATTTTTTCAGACTGGCCTTGAATTTACTCTCTAGCATGGAAACATCTTCATCTTGTTGTCTGACTACCTTGGCATTCTAAGCAGCTCAATAAGAGACCTCTGACCATGTGTCTGGCCATTTATCTTTTCATATTTCTGCATATCTTTTCTTCTAAGATAAATGTATACTTATAATGGTCATGATCTTCTTTCAGTCATTTTTTCTTAACAGTGGGGTAAATTACACCAATATAACATTTCCTTATTCTTTTAAATTAAAACTCTGCTTTTAATACAGGTAGCTGATAATTTATATCACCTTTAAAGTTAGTATATTTGTGTATGCAGTGCTAAAAATGAATGTGTAAAGATCCCTGTTTAAGACTGAACCATCTTATGCCTTATGGTAGTGGCAATCATCCTTGCTAGTAAAGTAGAAAAAAC